AGTGATTTGCTAGTGGAAGTTGGGAGCCTCATCGAAGAAGGCTTCGTAAGTGGATGTAGGTCATTTTGACCAAACCACTTTAAATTGGTGTGTTTCTTGAATGTATGAGTTCTTACTTTCCTAAAATTGTTATTTATAGTACTGCTAGCTTTCGGTTTTCTTCTACTCAAGTTACTATCGAAATAAAATCTTCTTGTATTTACGAATTCGTTTTTAAACTTACAAATTTTAATCTACTACACTAATTCATCCCCCCCTCTTAGTGCCACTCCGATCCTAATAAAAGACTGCATGTCAAGTCACACGTGTCATCACTCACGTGATTGGCTTGTAGGGCACTTATGATTAGCATTATAATCCTCTGATTATTCTGGAGAAGATTTACTATAAATATGTTATCATTATTGGTGATAGTGGAAGTTTGAAATGGATTACGGTCCTGTGATTTTTCTCGCATTGGATTTTCCACATAAAAAATTTATTATCTTACTTTGTGACTGATTTATTATTCTACTGTTTATGCTACTCTAGTTATTATTTATTTTTTATAATAAATTAATATTTTGATGAGGAATCCATGGCATACAAATAGGGAAAAGAATTATTCCCTTGCAATAGTTTTACCTGACAATGGCCAACCATAAGCTCTACAAGGTTGGCATCCAGGCTGCACGTGACCAACATGACGAAGCCACTTGGGCAACATGTTGGCTCTATGATGCTAACATGCTAACTCTACATTGCTGGCATGGTGGAGCCACTTGGTCGATACGCCGACTCCACGTGGCTGACACAACTGAGTCAATGCCACCTTAGCATTGCACGAAAGCCCCATGGAGTGGAACCAGTTAGCTGTGCTCAATTGGTGCCACGTAGAGGAAAGCTGCACAATCTCATATTTGATGCAAGCTAGTGATGGTTACAACTAGATTCAATGCCCCGTAATCACACAACTCGTGCAGTAGACAGACATAATGATTCCAAACATCTACTATAAAAGAAGATTCACGGATATGTGTCAAGACAATGAGTACAACCATACGTCCGACTTGTAAACTTAGACATCGAAAATACATTATCGGGAGTGCCCCGACACAGTTTTATAAGATTCAGATGAATTGCTTGAAGAAGTTCATCTTGAAGTTGGCATGGATAAGGAACTAAGTTGAATCCGATATGGCTTTCCATTACAACCACAATCTGCACTAATAATATGCACCAGAATAGAAGGATCAAACGGTTTTTGCACCTAAATAAACCTATAAAGACATACCTGAATTATTAAATATTGGTTCATCAAGGAATAACATGGGCAAGCTTCAAATCTAGCTAGAACATTGTAGCTTTCAGGTTGGCTATACATGATCACAACAAAATATTAGTTTACAATTTTACATTTAAATTAAATCACCTATTTCTTCATCATGAATCTACCCCAGTGACTCATGCAGAGAACAATTCCGGATTTTGTATTTAATACCCAACCAAGAATCAATTCAACCACACAAAATTAATTGGCTCCTATATATACCTTACAAACTCTTCATTCATCAAGCTAGAGATCTTTTGATCTTATCTCTGATTCTCTCATCAATCACCTTGGTCCAGACAGCTCCATGGCTTCAACCAGCAATGAGTCATCAGTGACGGTGATGTCTGAGTAGCGATCTGAGTGGAAGTCGGGCACCTTAAGCTTCAGAGCCTCTGTTCTCTGAGATGCTTCCCATCTCTCTGCAAGACCATCACCTTCAAGCATGTGGACCACCTCTGACATTTTCGGTCTGTGACCTGGGAGATACTGAGTGCACAAGAGCGCAACTTGAACCACCTCCTCGAGCTCTATCCGATCATAGCTCTTCATGTCCTTGTCTACAAGCATGTCAAGCTTCTTTTCCTGGTGCATTTTCTTGATCTGGTTGAAAAATTAACAAAAAAGAATCCTTGTTAGTCATGGATCAAATGACAAGAGTCATGCACATCGATTTTGATGCTTTCAGGAGGCAGTTACGAAAAAAAGCAAGTCATTTGATCTGTGTTGTGTGTACCCAGTCAAGCATGGCACCCTTCTGGTTTGCTGCTTTGCCAAATTCCAGTGCTCTCAAACCAGTAATCAGTTCGAGAAGAAGAATTCCAAATCCAAAAACGTCGGTTTTCTCTGAGGATTGCCCCGTTGAAAGATACTCTGGAGCTATATGTCCTACGGTTCCTCGCACAGCAGTAGTCACATGTGTGTCTCTGTGATCTAGAAGTTTTGCAAGTCCAAAGTCTCCTACAACTGCTTCACAGTAGTCGTCGAGCAATATGTTTGCAGCCTTTACATCTCTGTGAATGATCTTCGGGTCACACTGTTCATGTAGGTACATCAAACCCCTTGCAGCTCCCAAAGCTATTCTTTTCCTTGTACTCCAATCTAATGCCGGTTTTGCTGCAAAAAATGAGGAAAAGAAAAAAAGACTCAGTGTTCTGTCATGTATCGATGCTAAAATCTACATATGACTAGAAAAGATTGATGATGAAATTATCAAACTCAGAAGAGCTTTTCTGAAAGTTAATGCATAAACCAAAATATTACATTCTACAGTTTGTTGTTTGTTTACCAAACAGCATCAAGATAACTGCATCAAGCCATATTTTACATCGGGTATCTATTTCCTGACAATCACTGCTCTAGATCACAAATGCCCACCAAGCTCAACTACCACGATAAATTTAATATGACGTAATTTAAGTTTGATTAGTTGTCTCCATTCTTGTTAATCCAAACTTAGTCTTATAATTCCTAACATTTAAATCCACCTGGTCAATTTAGTTGTCCACATGCTACAAAATAATTTCATGATGTTATGAATTCATAAAGCAATTTATTATCCTATGGAGGTTGAATTTATGTTTTGCAGACACATCACTATGATATGATGCATGAAGCTCTCATGTCCAAAAAGATGACCAAAATTTTCACCTTTGAGTCGGGAGGCAACACTTCCATTTGACATATATGGGTAAACAAGAAGCCTTTCAGTAGCAGTAATGCAGAATCCACACAGCCTAAGAAGGTGTCTGTGCACAGCTAAGCTTATCATTTCAACTTCAGTTTTGAATTGAATCTCTCCACCTGCTGCATTTCCATCCTTGAGCCTTTTAACTGCTACTAAGGTTCCATCTTGTAGCTGCCCTTTGTAGACATTTCCGAAGCCACCTTTTCCAAGCAAGTTTTTGCTACTGAAGTTATTTGTTGCAACCTGAAGCTCCCTGAACTGGAATCTTTTCAGGTTACCGAGGCAGACCTCTTCTTTGTGTTGGTCTGAAAAAGGATTTGGTGGTTACTAGAATTAAATCATCAATTACAATGAAATTTCCCAATAAAACAGGTATCATTTTGCAAGCCAGTGAAGAGATGCAGTTCTTTAATTTCACTGCATAATATCTAGTATTTTACCTTTGACATCAAAGAATATCTGTTGATTATGCCTTTGACTGCACCAAATAAATAGCCCAAATGCGAGACTAATGAGACAGATGCTCCCGATGCTGGATGCAAGGGCAAGTATTAGTTTATGTCTTTTGGGCCTTTGTGGAGTTGGATCACCTAAATAAATCAAGAATAATGATCAGGATTCAAGAAAGAAGGCTTCCTTCAGAAAAAATCAAATGATAATGAACTCAAAGGCCTCTTATGTTAAATAATCTGCTTGCAGATGGCAATTGGTTCTTAGCAACTCATCATTTTATAGCAAAAACTCCCAAGATGATCTGTCCATGCAACAAGATGCAAAACAGACTTGGCTGCTGGTCCTTAATCAGGAAAAGCTTGCTTAGTGCTCCACTAAGAGGGAGAGATCAAATTGAACCCAAAAAATGACAATGAGAAAATTAATCTTTATTTCTTTGTTTTGTTTTTTCGTTGAGGTAATCAAATTGGTATGTGCTTAGTTTGAAAAAGAATTATATATTACTAAAATGTAAGAGCAGAACAATTGTAAAAGCTAAAAAAGATGGATTACAGAATTATAATGCCTTAAAAGACAATTTTTTTTCATTTCATCAACACAGCAATGAAATAGCTGCAAATAACTATTGAAGGAATTTTTCTGAGCAAAGGCTGCTCTGGACCAAGAAGATAATTTTTAAGGGGGAAAGGTTAATTGTTATTCTTCTGGTCTCATTCAAGTTGTGATTGGTTTTCCTAGAAAGTTCCTCTAACAATCTAGATAGCTCCTGAGGAGACTCATAGTAAGGATCAGGCTGGTGGATGACCAAGAATGCCGGTTTTCAGGGGGGGGAACTAGTAAGGCAGTGACCTTGATCAACTTAAGAGAAGAATGTGGTGAATTGGCTGCTAGTTCAGTTTTTTATGTTGATTTTAACCTGGTCAATACTTGGAGCTAGAGCTTCTTTAAACAATGTGTTTTAGGAAACTAATGAGGCAAACCCCTTCAAACATGAAAGCATAAAATGAAATGTTGCAGAAATTCATATGCACTATCGTTCATGCTCAAAATCATATGGCAATTTGTTTGTTGAGAAACACTCTAGAAGTAGAATGAAACTAGAAAACATTTAGCTGGAAAATTCTATCTCAGATGGTACCCTGAGAAACAGTAATGTTGAAGGACATTGGCAATGGCATCGTTCCATAGCACTCTTTCTCCATACCAGTCGGACAGATCAAATGATTTCCGACAATGCTGCATGAAATGTAAAAGACTGTTTTAGTCTTACATCAGTCACTGCAGATACGGATCGATCTCGAGCCTCAGAGAGGCAAACAAATGATTGTCTGCCACTTATCAACCCCATGTTAGAAGGATATGATGCAGTACAGCAGAAATGTAAAAGATTTACTTGAATGTTCTCCCTGGTAACTTTGGCATAGGGCCACTCAAATTGTTGTAAGACAGGTCCCTGAAGCATAAATACCACAAGATCTTCTTGGTTACAAACATCGATCCAAGCATGAACCTACTTAGTGCATGAAGATTCAGAAACCAGTGGACTAACATGAACGCAAGTTGAGTGATGTTCACCAAAGACAGAGGAAATTCCCCAGAGAGACTATTGTTGTTGAGCCTCCTGCTCAATCACCAAACGCAACATAAGAAAGGAAGTGTTGGTGACCCCATGATTCAAAACCATCGGATTATTGCAAAACGCTTCTTTTGTGCTTATGGCTTTCTTCACTTACAGGTACTGAAGTCCTCTCAGATTGCCCAAGGAAGTAGGTATTGCACCAGAGAATTCGTTGTTGGAGAGATCAAGGGTGTGAAGCCCGAAGAGCTTCCCAATCTCTGGAGGTATTGACCCAGATATGTTGTTGTTCTGCAGGAGCCTGCAAATGTAGTCAAGATATGAGAAAGAAAGATTAAGATTTGATTGATCAGCTCCAACTATCACAAAGAACTCACACAACTTCGAGATTTGTCAGATTTCCTATGCTTGGGGAAAGTGTGCCTGATAGATTCTGGCTTGGAGTTCCTCTGCCAAAAATGTCACAAGAATAACTCTAAATCACCTACGCCTCTTCCAAAGAGAACCAGTTTCTCAAGCTAATATGACCGCAGCTACCATGAAAGAAAAAGAAAGAAAGAACAAAAGGTGGAATAACATCATCTACCAATTCACTTGTCGTGATACTTACAGCCCAATGACCAGGTTCTCAGGTGAGCATGTAACCATGGTCCAGCTGCATGGATCAACAGAGTCCTGGTCCCAGTTCTCTAGAACGCCATGAGGATCCTCAAGAGAAGCCTTGATGCCCATCAGAGCTTGCACTGAAACAGAGTCCAATACCAAAAGAGTAAAGGAAAGAAAAAAAATATCAACTCGATCTATTGAAGAAACTGAAAGGGGAAGAAGAATCGAGGCAGCGGCATGTCATGAATGCATTACCTTCAAAGTTAACACCTTTAGGGGAGAGCATAGCAGTTGCAGTAACCCAGGGCCAGAAGAAGAGCACCCAAAGCATCAAAGCTCTACCATCGTCCACTTCCATTGAACTCAGAGGCTATGAAGAATACCAGCAAGAGGAGAGGTGTGGATGGGTTCAAGGCCGTTTCTGATCTTTAGCTGGGCTTTTTTGCTCAGCAGAAAAAGGTAGATTTCTTGCATGACTTCCTCATGTCAGGAGCCATGGCAGCTTACCAGTGGGATCTGATGCCATGACAAAAGAAAGCCACAGATAGGAAGGGGGTTGAAGAGATAGAGAGATATGTGGAGTGAGTTCTAGGAGTGCAATGCTCCAAAGGAATCAGAATGAAAGTTTTTGGTGGGTCACAGTGAGCAATGTGGTTTGGCAAGTGTGTTAGGGAGAATTTTGTGACTGATCAAAGAATAGCAAGATCTGATTTTTATTGGATACGTTGGATATGCCCACTGATGTGAGATATGATGCATTTTAAGAAGACACCAAAGTAATATGACGGACAGACACCGGTACATTTTTCCTTGGAAGCAATTAAACAACAAGGACTTGATCATAGCATTTTGAATGAATTGAGAACCTTATTGGATTATGAAGAGTGGTAATGATTCTGGTCTCCAAAGGGCAGTATAATAATGTGCTATCAATGATCGAAGCCCTCTTTTGCATCAATTCCAGCTACTGCTGTGGTCATTGTTTCCATGGGCTGCAATGATGACATTTTGGAATCATAGAATAATATCACCGCAATATATGATCCTCAACTTTACATCGAACACAAGCAAATGTGGGCAAATTCCATCTCACCTTCAACTTTGTTTCGTCATTGATCAAATGCAAGACCTTGAAAAGGAGATCCTTTGATCCTGTGATCCAGAAAAAAGAAAGAGTGAACCGACTTTTGTCCCTTTCAGTCAGCAATGATGTCTGAATCCATCGGTAGGAACAATGTGTTAGGGCTTCAGAATATGAAATGACAAGTTGCAAAGAGGAAAGAACAGGGGCTTTTAATCCGAGTGCAAGTGGAAGAAACGAAGGGAAAGGCAATATTAAAAGGAGGAGTTGGTGTTGTTTACGCCATGGGAATCCAACGTTTGCTAGGTTTGGCCATCCGGTAAAGTCACAGATCCACAAACCAAAGGATGGGCTGAGGACTCAGCCGTGCCTTGTTGCAGTCTCGTGATGCGTGAATGAGCATATCTTTGTTGGATTGTCCTGTCCTTTATTAGATGCAGTGCTGTATGTACACACACTCTTATCACTCTCTCTCTTCCAAATGCAACTCCTCTTCTATGATGAAGACGATCAGATCACACACGGACACGGCAGTGGTACTTGCAGTTCACTGTGAAACCACAAACCACGCAGTATCAAACAGCAGCAGGTACGAAATGGTAAACAAAAGAGAGAGCAGGCATTCAAAAGCGAAAGCTGCCGTCTCGCCTGCCTTATTTCATCTTTTCTTCTTGCTTTTCGATAGCAGGATGAAATTGGATGTGGCATATATTCTTTCTCCTTCTCCTTGAGTTGAGAGATAAAAGAGGAAAGTAGCTCTCCTTAATGAATGCTTAAGATGCGAGGAATGGATGAATAAACGAGAAGGATGGAAGCACAAGGGAATCAAAGAATTATTCTTGGATTTTAAGTTCGATGACTATGAAAAATCATTTTGGTACTCTAAATTGATGTACATAGTGTATGTAATAGCAGATAAGATTTTCTTAACTGTATGAGAAAATCTCTATACTCTGTTGAGGGAAATCATCCCTCTTAACCTATATAAATAGGGAGAGAACAACTTCAATAAAAATATTTCTTCAGTAATTTCTGTCTTCTGTTCTCCTTTAACATGGTATCAAAGCAATCACCGTGAAGGCCATTTCTAAACATCTCGAAGTGGACCGGACCAGCTTCCTTAGCCGCGACTCCATCACAACCACTCCCCCCCTCCGTCGCTGCCCCCGTCGTGACCACACCCGACATCGCCATCAGGCGGCAGCAATAGCGGCATCTTCATTGCTGCGACATTTTCCACGGAGAACGGTGGATGTTGTGACTTCCTCTCCATAAGCAAACGGTGGATGCTCCTTCCCTCTTCTCCTCCCTACGCTGGCGGCATTCTTTACTGTCGCCTTTCCTCTGCCGGTTCCTGCAGAAGCAAAGCCAACGTAGCCTCGCGACCAACTACTCCCCGGCCAGCGGCCTCTCCTCCTCGTTCTCGCATCTCGCTCGAGCAAGAAGGGTCGCGGCTGTTCTGCCTTGCCATCCTCAACTGGCCCGCCCTCCGTCAGCTTGGCCAACTGATCTCCGTCGCTCGTGACCTTGCCGCGCTGCCCCGCACTGCGTCCAAGAACTGCTGGCCCCATCCCCAAATCCTTGACCTCGCTGCCAACAACCTCGCTGGGCCCGACCTGGCATCGCTAAGCGAGCTGCGGGTCTTGGCCGGCTACTAACTTCGCTCATTGCTGTAGTTGGCTCGAAGTTGTAATAGCCTCCTCTGTCGTAGTAGCCTCCTCTGTCGTAGCAGCCTTCTCTACCGCAGTAGTTGCAGTAGAGATGCATAGTTGATCGCTGTAGATTTCTCCTCCTCCAGCCTCTTCCTCTGTCATAGCAGCCATAGTAGCTACAGCCGCAACAGTCACAACCGTAGCAGTAGTGATGTGCTCTTGCTCTTCTCACAAGCCTCCTCCCTCCCTCCTCCTTTTCTGTAAAGATCCCTCTTCAGACAAAAAAAAAAAAATGAGAGAGAAAAAAAGTCTGGGATGTCTTCATTATCTTCTTCTGATATTCCAATTACTATTTCTACAAGAACTCATAGTACTTCTCTTACAGGGCTTATCTCCATCAATGCTGCTACGCTAATCCCTTTCAAGTTATCAAAAGATGGCAACTATGTATCCTAGCGGACTCAGTTTTCTAATCTCTTATTTAAATATGACTTACTCGGCTATGTTGACGACTCCTTCAATTGTCCGCCAACCATGATCAACATCCCCGGAGAACCTAGTCCAGTACCAAATCCGGCTCATAAATTGTGGCTACATCAAGATCGTCTCATCCTCAAAGCTGTTCAAGCCTCTGTTGCTAGAACCGTCACTCCATTGATATCCTCATGTGGGATTGCTACTGAAGCATGGTCTAAACTGCAAACTACCGTAGCAAATCATTCGCATACTCGCAAGCTCAGTCTTCTATCCAAGCTAATGATGACAAAATAAGAGGGAAGTACTATCACTGATTATCTACAAAATATCAAAGTTATCTTTATCTCCTTCTCGGCCAAGTGACACTCACGTACCTCCACCTGACCCGGCTTATGTCAATGACTCTCAACCGCTTATTCTAACAACTCAACCTCATGGTCCTGTAGTCTCTAACCATCCTATGATCACACGCTCTAAGAGTGGTATTTTCAAAATACGTTAGATCCTTGACCTACATGCTATCATGGATTCCTCATCCACCACTGTTGAACTCACCACCTTCACTCAAGCCCAAAAATCTCCACATTGGCGTACTGCCATGTGTGAGAAATATAATGTCCTCCTCCATAACTCAATATGGGATCTAGTACCCTCTCATCTTATACAAAACATCATCAAGTGTAAGTGGGTCTTTCGAATTAAGCGGAACCCAGAAGGCTCTATAGCTTGATATAAGGTACACCTCGTCGCCAAAGGGTTTCATCAAAGACTTAGAGTTGATTTCACTGAGACATTTAGTCTCATTGTTGAGCCAACTACAATCAGACTTATCCTGAGTTTGGCCACCACTAAGGGCTGGTAATTATGACAATTGGATGTTAATAATGCCTTTTTATAGGGGACTCTAACAAAAGCTATTTTTATGCAACAACCTCCTGGTTTCACTCATCCTCAGTATCCAGGGCATGTTTGCAAATTGTGAAAAGCTATTTGTGGACTTTGTCAGGCTCCAAGAGCTTGGTACACAGAACTTGGCTCTTTTCTTACTTCAGTTAGCTTTCTCAACTCCAAATCTGATACCTCATTATTTCTACGACAACACCGTAGTGACACAATATATATTCTAGTATATGTGGATGACATCATTATTAGAGGCAACAATCTCGTAGAAATCCAAACGTTCATCAAACATTTGGCAGATCGGTTCTCGCTCAAAGATCTAGGACCTTTGAACTACTTTCTAAGCGTAGAAGCTATATTCACATCCTCCGGTCTCTTTCTCTCACAAAGAAAGTACATTCAAGATTTATTATCAAAAACAAATATGCAAGACGCAAATGCGGTTACAACTCCTCTCTTTGCTAGTGGCTCTCTCAAATTATCTGATGGAAGTCATACTACGGAGTCCACTCAATACCGACAAGTCATTGGCTCCTTATAGTACTTAACTCTTACCCATTTGGACATCTCATTTGTAGTCAACAAATTATCACAGTTTATGTAGAGGCCATCTACTATTCACTGGTATGCGGTCAAACGAATCTTGTAATATCTTAAGGGAACCCTCAATCATAGTCTCTTTCTTCGTAATCACTCTCCACTTCATCTTCATGCATTTGCTGACACCGATTGGGCAGGCAATGTTGATAATCGAACATCCACATCGGGGTATATTGTCTTCCTTGGCGCTAATCCAATTAGAGTTCTAAGAAGCAAAAGACAGTTGCACGGTCTACAACTAAAGCTGAATACCGTGCCATCACCACTGCCACTGTAGAACTCAATTAGGTCACAAATCTGCTCAAGGAACTCAACATCAGGTCCACTCCTATAATATATTGTGATAATGTCGGAGTTACCTATCTGTGTGCTAATTCGGTATTCTACTCTCGTATGAAACATATTGCTATCGACTTCCACTTTGTGCAAGATCAAGTTGTCCATCGTCAACTTCGTGTTTCTCATGTATATACGACTCACTCATGAAGTCTCTCACTCGTAAACTATTTGCATTGCATCGATCCAAGATTGGTATCCTTGATAGGAGCACCATCTTACGGGGGTATGATAACAAATAAAATTTTTCTAGCTGTACGAGAAAATCTATGAAAGAAATCTTCCCTCTTAACATGTATATATAGGGAGAGAACAGTAAAACATCTTCCTTTAACAGTATATTTTAGCATGAACAATATCCTGCAGATTTCTGTTCTATCATGAGCACCTGATGCCAGCTCAATGTAAATTGCTGAGCTTTGACTGGTGAATCATTCAGTCTTATCCATTTGGATGATTGGTGAATCCATTCATGTGCTGATTCTGATGCTGTTTCTTGCGGATGGCATTGCAGGATGAAGCTGCTTTTGCCTCTCAAATGCACAAACGCATGATGCGCTGCCTGTGCATGGACACTCTGGGCTCCGATAAGAGCTTCCCTTCCGTATTCCACCACTGAGATTCTTCTTCATCTATTCACCTCATCAAGTGTAGCATGTTCTCTTAATCAAGCTTGGCAGTAAGATATCCATCCATGTTCTCAATTCCTTGGTTGCATGGCTTTAAAGTTTTCTTGTGTGTTCTACGTTTTGGATGTTGACGAAATATTATTAAGAGAACATCACCCAAGATTAATAGGGTTAACAAGGGTTAGCTCTCTCAAAAATTGACTGCTCCCTTTGGCAACTTTTACAAAAGAAAGAAAGATGGCATACTTTTCTTCCCCAGTGCCTTTTCCTATGAACATATGGGGAATCCTCCTCAACTTTTAAGCATGAAACATGGCCTCAAACTTTGCCAAAGGAGCTCATGAAAAAGCTGACTTTGGGACTTCTAAGTGCATTTGTTTGAATCTCAAAGTTTATCAATCAGCAAAAGCACTTGATAGCTGAAACATATGGAGATTTTTTTTTTCCCTGTTCTAATCCAGTGTGTGAATTACGAAGAACCAACAATGATATTAATGATTTAAAAAGGTTAAAGGTGACTGATGCTGATGCGTAGTGGATCAAAGCTAGGTAGTGGCAGGTTGAGGAGAAAGAGAAGTGGACCAATGGGAATCCCTTTTTGCAGCATCGGGTTTACAAATGAATGTGCAGTCCAAGGGACATATTTTCCTTCTCTCATCACCCCTCCACCCACTTTGCACTGCTTTCTAAAGCGTGCCGCTCTGCCCATTTTGTTCTCTCGCCCAAGACAGACCTCTCGAGAACAGCTAAAAGAAACACAACAATACCTGCTACCTGGAATGCTTCTCCCTGTCCAAGTAGAATGTTTGAGCCTTCTATTAGCTATCACAATGATTCCCTTGGATTCTCTTTCCTAGAGGAAGGAGTTCATTGTGGAGTATTCCTCCGAGTGTCTCAAATAATAGTACATTGAATCTATCATGTTACCCAGAACAGTCAAAGGAGTGACGATTCAATGGCATGATAGTGAGTTATATATGAGTAGTACATCAAAGTAGGCCAAGAGAAGTAGAATACAGAGGCCATGTATTTACCAATTCGTTGTGGTATTTAGCTGGAGCCTTAGTTAAAACGCGTGTTTGAAATAATCCAAAAGCAACATCTGTGTTTACAGATAAGAACAAGGACAATTATTCCTGGGTGCTATCTGATGTTACTGGCCAGCTTGCTCTTCAAAAACCAGGGCCCCTTGTGATGATTGATACCTGCACTGGATGCATGACAAGCTCCCAGTCATTGTTCGTCGACAGATGATATCCACATCCAGTACTGTCATTATTCTTGGATTTGTGTGTCACTTATAAGACACTGTCCCTAACCATGGGTGAAGCAGATCTCAGTCAAATCTCATTGACAACGAGGCATTGTCCTGCATGCTTGTCCCTAAGCTTATGATTGTTATTCTCTAATAGCAAAGTGGGGGATGTTACATGTGCATGTGAATGCGTATGTAATTGAAGAGAGTTATAAGGGTTCCTTTCAACTCATCATGTTGCAATAAATCCTCATCTCTAACTTTAAGGTAAAGCTTCTACAGCTACTGACGGATAGACCATAAAGTTGATGAAACTGATCATAAGCCAACATACAGACCAAACAATAACATAACATGACATCCAGAAAAATTGCATAATATCGCATTCAGTCTCCATAATTCTTTCCCAAGTATCAGTACTGGCAACTCGGATGAAACAGAACAAATATGATAATTCCATTAGATGCATACAAGGCATGTGAGATGGGTTTAGACTATTGCCACTCAGAAAAGGGAAGTTGTTAGCTCCTTTACGTCTGCTACGACCTGGTTGTAATCTGCCTGCAACTTCTCTTGCACCTCTTGGACCAATTCCCCTTTGGTTGGCTTGGTTAGAACCAATACACAACATGTCGGCCTCTTGGTGACCCCTGCAACCGCAAGATCTTGCAAATAAGTGGGGAAAAACTGAATATGAGGCATGAAGAAAAGGACAGCAGCAAAGCAGGAGATTTCCTATCTGTTTGAGCAGAATCAGAAATTCTACACCCCACCTTGTTCTATGAGTATTTGACCCATTACTGATCAGATTTCCAACAATACAGAAAGTGGTAACTGTAGTTAACCAGAAATCCTGGATCATGCCACACTTGCTTAGGTAATAAGACTCTAGAGACTCCTCGATCATGTAAGTCACAATGACCACAACTACCGCGAGCAAACTCCTTACTATAAAACTAACCAGAACCTTAAAGCCATTTAAGTGTCTCTTTTAAAGAAGTCATGCAGGACTAGCAAGAGCGCCACCCATACAGAATGATAAGAATAAAATTTAGAGTGTGCAGTGATATATCATACAAAGAACTGTAGATAAACATATTATTGTCTAGGTAATCATTAACTGGAAGTGGGGCAAGTTATAACCACTGCCAAAGGAAACCATGTCAGCTACCAGTAGCTCAAAGAGATGTTTCAATATCTGGAAACCTCCGTTTTCATAATTTCAACCCTTCACCCACCTACTAATACAAACCAGTCATGCTAGAATATTTTAAATGAAGATGCACAGAAGTATGAGAACCAGAGAGTGCTTTTACAGGTACAGACAATATACAAGTGCTAGCATAAGAATCTTGCATTTTATCAGGCTAACTGTTACAATGGTCAACATGCTTTTATTTTTAAAAGAAAGGTAACTATGATAATTCAATAAGTGTTGACACAGCATTAGGAAGCAAAGCACCACTCCAAAAAATAATTTATGTCAAGCAAAAAGACAAGAGCATTAGGCAACATGTGTTTTTTTTCATGATTGAAGCTTCCTAATAATCTGGCTTAACAAAAACAAAGAAAGGAAGATGATCCCAACAAACCTCCTTTGAAGGAACATAAATATAAGGAATGTCAGCTTCCTCCAACAAGATGGGCACATGTGTAATCACATCAATAGGAGAAATGTTTCCAGCTATAACACACAATCTGCATCCAACAGATATAAATCAGTGTTAGCATATCTCAATCACAACTTATGTGCTAACAAAATTATACTCTAAATGAATTCTGTTTTCTGTGTCTGGATGATAAAAAGGGAGAATAGGTGGCCATGCTTTTTGACATAATTAGAACGTCATTGAAGAACTGCAGAGTAATAATTTAACAAGCAGTTTGCATCTTGTATTATGTAACTCTTTCTAGTAGAACTTAACTCAAGCATAGTCTGCACTTTCAGTTTTAATATAAATTAATAGTCAAGCAAATCCAGGGCATACTAGAAAAAACCCCAACAAGATGCTTCTTTCTGACATTGCTATATTAAATAATCATACTGTAGAGTGGTTCCAACTGTGAGGTCTGGCAAGTGACAAGTAATAATATCAACCTGTGATTTAAAAAGGTACTTGGGCGTTGGCTTAAGCGCTCGGGCGACGCGAGGCCCAAGCACCTCGTTTAATGGCCAGGTGGTGCACTTCAAAGAAACGCCGCTAGAGTGGTTCCAACTGTGAGATCAAGCAAGTGACAAGTAATAATTCCGACCAATGATTTAAAAAGGCACTCGGACGCTCGCCTCCCCCGAGCGCCTCGTTTAATGGCCAAGCCTTAGCGTCGGGCGTTTCAAGCAAGTGCCCAATTTAAACAAGGGGACCAAACCTGATTTTTAAGTATGGTTCGGTCAACATTGCGTTAGTTGGTTCGATTGAACTAACTAACGCACGTATATCAACCTCCCCCTCGTCGCGACTTCCCATAACCCTACACACAATTCCGTTGTCAACAGTTTTGCTGCCTCTCTCCGCTACCGCTGTCGGTGCTCTCCACTGCCGTTGCCACTGCCGCTGCCGCTATCGCTGCTCTCCGCTACCACTGCCGCTACTCTCAGTTAGCAGCCTCCTGCTCTCAGTCAACAGCCTCGGTCTCTTCCTCAGTCCTCACATCGGTCTCTACTCTTACTTCTCACATCGACTCAGTATACTGTTAACAATATTTTTTATTTATTAGATTAATAATATATTATTTCGATTTTAATACTGCTAATCTTTATTTATTTGAAATTATTGTTAAGGTTTCAGGATAAATGACAAGTGCACAAAGCAACTCAATAGATTCTTCAATGACATCAAATAGGATCTTACATGGAAGTATAATTATCTAAAGGATCCTAATGCAGTTACTTGCATCTTTTATGATAAGACTATTAGAGGTAGTATTTTTCATACAAAACAACATCTAGTAGGAAATTTCAAGAATGCAACAGCCTGTAAGAAGTGTCCAACTAAGGTAAAAGAAGAGCTGCTAGCTTATATGAATGAAAAGAATATATAAAAGAATGCACCTTATGGGAATTTATCAAAGGATTATGTTGTATATATTAAGGATGATGAAGAGGAAGATTATTCGATGAATGTCAACCCAAGTAAAATAAAAAGTACACGACAGAAAAGGAAAAGACGCTATGGTTACTAAGAAGCGTAAAAAGGGATTTATGGATCTATATATGTTTCAAGGATCACAGAAGCAACAAGGGCAAGTAGGAGGCTCAAAATTAAGACAAACAAAAATAAGTGATGCTTGTGATAAAAAAACAAGAGGAATAACAATTCAGCATATTGCTCGCTTCTTCCATCAAGTTGGTCTTCCCCTTAGTACAACTCGTTTAGATAGTTTTAAGGAGATGATTGAAACTAGTGGATGATATGGTGTGGGATTAAAACCTCCAAGTTATTATGAGATACGAGGTTCATTGTTGAAAAAAGAGTTGGAATATACAAATGACTTACTAAAGGACTATAAAGAATCATGGGTAACACATGATTGCTTTATTATGTCAAATGCTTCGACCGATAGGAGACGTAGGAGTATAATTAATTTTATGGTTAACTGTTCTTTACGGACCATATTTATGAAGTCAATAGATGCTTCATCTTTTGTGAAATCTAAAGGAAAGATATATGATTTGCTTGACAAGTAGAAGAAATTGGTGAACAAAATATCGTTCAAGTCATAATCGACAATGGAAGCAACTATGTATTAGCTAGTAAAGTTCATCTTTTGAATTTTTTAAATTTTTTAATTACTTTATCTTCAATTAATTGGAAGATATATTAAACTCTTAAGTCTCATCATTTTTGTTATCATTTGTTTTAGGTCAATTACTTGAAACAAAAAGACAACACTTATATTAGACTCCATGTGTGACACATTATATTGATTTAATGTTGAAGGATATTAGAAAGATCCCTGACATCAAGAAAACTTTAGAAAAGACAATCTTTGTTGTTGGATTTCTGAATAATTATGCTGGGGCTTTGAATATGATGAGAGAATTCATAGGTAACAAAGAATTTGTGAGATATGGTATCACCCGATTTGCTACTTCATTCTTAACATTACAGAGTGTGCATCGTCAAAAACATAACCTGAGAAACATGTTTACCTTTGAGAAATGGGTGACAGGCAAATGAGTAAAAGAAGCAAAAGACAAGAGGACCATTGATATCATCTTAATGACATCCTTTTGGAATTATGTAGTTTATATATTAAAGGTAATGGGCCCTCTTATTTGAGTCCTTCAATTAGTGGATAATGAAAATAAGCCTACAATGGGATATATTTACGAGACTATGGATAGAGCAAATAAGACAATTCAAAAGTCTTTTAATAAAAATAAAAAAAAAATATGAGAAAATTTTTTACAATCATTAGCGAAAGATGGAATTATCAGCTTCATCGTCCCTTATATGCAGCAGGATATTATTTGAACATAGAATTCATTTATAAGATCAAATCTTTTGGGTTTGATGCAGAAGTTTTGAATGGCTTAAATCAATGCATTGTAAGATTAGTTCCAAGCCTTAACGTGCAAGATAAGATTATTCGTGAATTATCTCTATATACAAATGTCGATGGTCTCTTTGGAATTCCAATAGCACTTCGATCCAGGACAACTACATCCCTAGGTATTAATAATTTGATATAATAATTTGATATTATTACTAATAATAACATAAATTTTACGATTGAATAGTGGAGTCTATTTGGAAATTCCACCCCGAACTTACAGCAATTTGCTATCAAAATACTTAGTTTGATATGTAGTGTTACGGATTGTGAGCGAAACCGGAATATATTTGAGCATGTAAGGATTATTAAATATTTTTATTTCAATTAATTTATTTTTTTAGATAGATGTATTAATATATTTTTAAATTATATGACATGACAAATTCACTAAAAAAAAATAAATCGATTGGAACATCAACGATTACATAATCTTGTTTATATTAAGTATAATTAAGCTTTAAAGGATCGTCATGATTTATGAAATAAAATTAATCCAATCTCACTACAAGATATTGATGATTCAAATGAGTGGTTCGTGGGAGAAATAAGTGCCAACTTGCAAGATGCCAAAAATGAGCTTGTATTTGAAAATGATAGATTGATATGGGGAGATCAGTGATTTAAAAAGCGCTAGGCGCCAAAGTCCAAAAATGCCCGAGACGCTAGGTGCTCGCCTAAGCGCTCGCCCGAGCAAAGCGAGATACTAAAATATAAAAATATATAATATAATTAATAAATATAATTATTTAAATAAAAATATACTATTAAATTAAGAAAATATAAAGTACAAAATCACAATATTATATTAACAAAAAGTCTCAAAATTCAAAACAATAAAATTTTACATCAAATCATTCATCATAATCAATATTATCGTCATTTTCATACAAATCATCTCCATTGAATTCGTCCTCTTCCTCTTGTCCTTCCTCTTCATCAAAATATGTTTCATTCTCTATGTCTTCAACAATAACAGGAGCCGAGCTTGATGCTTTTGCACTCATTTTTTTCTTTGTCATCTGTCTTGTATATATTTATAATTCTCCAGCACCTGAAGCTCTTGTTACATCTCCTCATGTCAATCTATCATCTTCAAATACAAGTTCGTCTTCGGCATCTTGCAAGTCGGCACTCATTTCTCCCACCAACCACTCATTTGAATCATCAATATCTTGTAATGAGATTGGATCAATTCTATTTTACAAATCATGACACGCCTTCAAAGCTTAATTAAACAAAATCGCGTAATCGTTGATGTTCTAACTGATTTCTTCTCTTTGATTGAATCTATCATGTCATATAATTTAAAAATATATTAATACATCTATCTAAATTAATTAATTAATTGAAACAAAAATATTTGGTGATCCTTACAGGCTCAAGGACACTCCAGTTTCGCTCATAACTCGAAGCACTACATGTCAAACTAAGTACTTTGCTAACAAATTGCTGCAAGTTTGGGGTGGAATTTTCAAAAAGACTCCACCATTTAGCTACAAAATTTATGCTATTATTAGCAATAACATAATAATATACTATAGATGAAATTAACTATATCAAATTATTAATACCTAGAGACGTAGTTGTCCTGGATCAAACTGTCATTGGAATTCCAAAAAAACCTTCGATATTTTTATATAGAGATAATTCACGAATAATCTTATCTTGCACCTCAAGGCTTGGAACTAATCTTGCAACACACTGATATAACATATCCAAAAACTTCTGCATCAAACCCAACAGATTTAATCTTATAAAAGAATTCAAGGTTCAAATAATATCCTACTACATGTAAGGGACGATGAAGTTGACAATTCCATCTTTCGTCAATGATTGTAAAATTTTTCTCATATTTTTCTTCATTTTCATTAAAAAACCTTTTAATTGTCTTCTTTGCTCTATTCATAGCCTCATAAATATATCTTATTGTAGACTTATTTTCATTATCCACCAACCGAATGACTCAAACAAGAGGGCTCATTACCTTTAATATATAAACTACATGATTCCAAAAAGATGGCATTAAGATGATATCAGTAGTCCTCTTGCCTTTTGCTTCTTTTGCCCATTTACCTGTTACCCATTTCTCAAAGGTAAACATGTTTCTCATATTATGTTTTTGACAATGCACACTCTATAAT